ACGGAAGAAGGAGTGGACAGAAAGGAGCTAGGTTCAAAGTTATCATTAACCTCCCCAGGAACAAACTCAGGCTGCTGGTCGCATGGTACACTGGTCATTKCAGGCTGAATAGGCACCTATACAACATGGGCCTATCCGCCAGCGCTAACTGCCGGTTCTGCGACAGGGAGCCTGAAACTCCGGAACACCTGCTGAWCGACTGTACAGCAGTCTGCAGACGCAGGTTCAAGGCCCTTGGATCAATGTTACCGGATAGGGATCRCATCGCCTCACTAGCACCGGGCAGGCTACTGGACTTCGTCGGTGCGCTGGGGCTACGTGAGTCGATGTGAGTTAGGAGAGGGCACAATAGACCTAAGGTCGCGGTGCAATCGTCATATTCAAATCTAATCTTATCTAAAAAATCGGAAAGAACACTGCGAGAAACATAGTGCTGGAGACATGTGAGGCTATTTGGGAAATGCTTTCACCAATTTATCTGAGTGAACTCAAGCAACAACAGTATAGAGACATCACGACCGACTTTACGCAAATTTGGTACATGCCAAACTGTGTAGGTGCGAGCGATGGAAACATATTGCGATAAAATGCCCTCCAAATTCAGGATCCATTTATTAATGAATGAATGCATGAATGATGATGAGGATTGCACTGCGACCTTTGGTCTATTGTGCCCTCTCCTTACTCACATTGACTCGCGGAGTTTCAGGCTCCCTGTCGCAGAAACGGCAGTTGCCGAAAGGTGATAGGCCCATGCTGTGCAGATGCCTATTTAGCTTATAGTGGCCAGTATACCATGCGACTAACAGCCTGAGTTTGCTCCTGGGGAGGTTTATTACGATTTTGAACCTTTTCAGGTTGTAACCTCCCATTAGCAGCTTGGCGTGTCTCATACAATGAGTTTGTCGCCAGTGCTCTTTCCTGCCTGCTCTTTCCTTTTTACGGAGCAGCTCCTTCATGGTATGGGGACCCAAACCAGTAAAGGGTTCAGGTCCTACCATCCTGGCGGAGGCTGCGGAGCCCGAGAGCTCGTCCGCCAGTTCACTGCCGGCTATACCTTTGTGACCAGGCACCCAGATCAGGTGTACCTGGTTTCTTTCGGCAAGGCTATTCAGCCTCTCCCTGCACTCCTGCACTAGAAGCGACTTGATCTCGTAAGAGGAGATCGCCTTTAGCGCCGCTTGACTATCGCTAAGAATGGTTATACGCTCATTGCGATAGTTGCGATGGAGGTTTATTTCTATGCACCGGCTTATAGCATAAACCTCTGCCTGGAAAATGCTCGGGAACTCACCCTTGGGTACGAGGAGCCTAGTGCGTGGGCCCACAATCCCTGCGCCGATTCCGTCCGACATTTTTGAGCCATCTATGTACCACCTCATATTACTGTTCCTCAACATTTGCTCGAGGTTGGAATCGTTCCAATCGTCWTTGCTGCCGAGGGTAACCTTCAACTTCTTCCTGAGGTTAACCTTTTTAGTAGTACCATCCCTCGGGAAGAGGACTAGTGGTAACTTGTCACTTATCATCTCCATTATCTGGGATGAAACTATTTTTCCTTTTCCACGTCCCTCTGCCGTTATCTGCAGAAGAGTGTGTTTGGCTACCAGACCGATAACCAAATGAAGCGGAGTAAGTTGGAGAAAAACCTCCAGTGCTGCCGTTGGAAAGGTTCGCATTGCGACGTTACGTCATGGTGTACAACCATCTAACTATCCTTGGCGTTAAACCCCAGGTTCTTCCTGCCAGCCGATTACACACCATTAAGGCCTTTGTCGCCTTGACCAATGTCAATGCTTCCACCTCAGCGTGGAGTCTAGCGTTAAGCCGAGGTATTTAACACTGTTGGTTTTCCCTATTTCACTACCCCCTAGTAGGAGATTCCTAAGACCGGGTAGGGTCCTGCGTTTCGTAAATGGGATTACAGACGTCTTGGAGGGGTTGATATTTAGTTCAACCTCCCTACACCACCCYTTCGCTAGGTTGAGACCTCTTTGGATCAAGTCGCAGAGAGTGTCTTCAAATTTCCCTCTTGCCATAATGACAATGTCGTCCGCATACCCTTGGCAGCGGATCCCATTGTCTGTTAGCAGTGTTAGCAGTTCGTCTACAAGTAGACTCCATAGCAGGGGTGATAAAACACCCCCTGTGGGCAGCCTCTTGTTGTGCCGAGACTAATACTGCTATCGCCTGCTGTGGTCTCAGCAACCTTTGAGCGCAGCACGGCTTCTATCCATCTACGCACTGGTGCCGCCACATTCCTTTTCTCCCGCTCTGTAGGCATGTTCAGCCGCATGCAGCGGTGAACTCTTTAGCGCATTCATCCTTATTTCCTGATCCACAATCTTCTCCATTTTTTTCAGTAGGAAGGATGTTAGACTTATCGGTCTAGACTTGCCGGTTTGTCAAATCCTTTGCTCCCGGTGGCTGCAGGCCTGTTGGGCCGCATGACCACCGTGTCGAACCTGTAGTACAGGCGGAAGCTTGCTGCACGGACGTAACTACGACTCATAGTCGATGTGCAGGTGGAGTCTCCATTCTTTTATTCCTCCGATCACGGATGTTCCACAGGTACCACTTCATAGTGGAACCACTAATCCATTTCCTGCGTGGATCATTGCATCCGCCGGGTTGACCAGCTTCTGGGATGGGGCGTTGCCCACCTCTTCCGCACCTTCTCCTTCTTCTCCTACGAGCAGCGTCAGGCCCTGCCCGATGAGACTCACCCGAGTCCGACCCGCTGCACCTTTCGGGGGGGGGTCTTGGTGGCGCTTGTTGCTGCTACAGCTGCACCCGGCGTGTACTCCAGGCGAGCGCCGCTGCAAGAGGGCACATCGTCATCATCCTCCTTGACGTGCTCCTCAAACAGCGCCCGTTCATCTGGCGAGAGAGCGTCAAGGAAGCTAAATTTTCGTCTASCTCCCTGATCCCCTTTGCCAGCCGCTGCACCGGTGTCCTTTTCGTTGTCCAAGTCTGTTTTCCGAAGTTGCCGCCTATTTTCCAGTTTGTCCGAGTTTGTATTTTTGTTTGTATTCATCTTGTTCTTACGACCCTTGACTCAACAGGGTGAGCTGTCGGGTCTATCATTTATATGGGGAACTAGAAGGTCCGCCACGCCAGACGCGGTAAGGCCCATGACGCGGTAAGGCTACAGTTACTCTCCAATTCGGCCCGGTGTTGGGGAGGCTCCGTTAGAATACAGCCGAATTTAACCTCCCAGCTGCAACTCATCCAATGGGCACGGGAGTCGCATAACACCCTGGATTAGGAGGTGGTAGCTCTTGGTTAGCGCAAGCATGCGGCAACTGTCACCCCGCACGGTCAGTGCTTACTAGCACCTACTTGCGCCTAAGCTCCTGCACCGCGGCAAGGTGCCTACCATTCGCAGAGGGATGTATTATAATTATAAAAAGTTTTTCAGCATTGTACTGTTGGCAGCATGTGATTTGGGATTTTGACAGCGAGGGGGAGAGTGCTAAGAACAACAATGGAGTTTCATCCTGAAAATGTTGACAAAATCGTACTAGCATGTTTAGTGCTTCATAATTTTATAATGCTCCACGATATGAATCGATGGTACTGCTCAGAGCATTACACTGAAGGAGATGGAAGAAATGCTGAATGGAGAAACGAATTAAGATCTTGTGGGGACTATTGCGGTCAGCACAAACTTTTAGACGTAGGGGTCGAAACAGTGCGTATAACCACAGAGAACACCTCACCAATTATTTTATGAACAATGGTGCAGTACTTTTTCAAAACCATATAGAGTAAAACACTTATAAACATACATAATAAATTCAATAAAAAAAATGTTGAAAATTTAAATTTACGTGTATTTCATCCATATTGATTAAATTTAACAACAACAAAAATTAATTAAATAGACACAAATAATTAGTATATAGAACGTTATATGGATTATATACTTTGTACTTCAGGTTAAAAAATTCAACCGTTCTAATTAAAAGAACAAAAAGTAATATGTAATAAAAGTTTAAAAAACTCTTCTCATAATTGAGGGACTATTGACATTGATCACCAATGCTTGCCTTGATTTTTYCATTTTTGAAACCGAAGACCATATCATTGGCCCAAAACCGCTTATCTCCGCATCAAACTCTTCTCGACGCGCTCTACGTTCACATATATGATGGCTGACTATACGGAATTGACTGATCGGACGGAATTGCTGATGTTGAATTGGAGGTGACGGCGAGAGATCTTGTGATATAGATTCGGACGAAATGTTTATAAAGTGATAGTTCTCGTCGCTGCGTTTCAATATTGGCGCACTTTGTCGCATTCTGTTAATATTAATGCTCTCATTATGGTAATAATGCATTTTACTTACGGACATTATTCCTCGTGACTTCGTAAAAGTTGCAAACTTTCAAATAGCGCTCACTGTCTTCCTACGAATGCACTACTTCCTGAAGCATTTTGTGAGATTCTAATTTCTTTGAAAAGTGTTCTCTCAAGTTGCCCCAACGCTTCAAAACAACACTTTGTGTTTATAATGTCCAAACATATTGTAGATATATGAAAAAATATAATATTTATATTGAATTCACCATTAACTTCCAATTATCAGCGACTTCCTTCCAAGAGCGCCTTTTTTCTTTTGATTCTTGAAATCGGCATGGCTCTTGTCATATAGGMATGGCGAATTCCACACACATTCTATTAATTTAATAAACATTTTCATTAATAGATTATTATTTGATTACTGTTTAAAAATCGCTACAATAAATTAAACATTGTAAGCACTCATTTGCATCGTAATGTAATAAAATGCTGATCATATTATTAAGAAAATTTCAAACACTGCTTAAACATATTATTCATTTATTTATTTATTTAATAATTTAATAATTTCACGCCAATCGGAATTATACAACATATATAAAGAAATATAATATAAATTGATTTAGATGGGAAATATAAAATTATAATATTATTACAGAGAAATTATAGTACAGCAAGTAAAAAAGACTTGACTAGGGACATTTGAATAGACGTCGTTTTATGTCAGGGATGAATGCGTTGAGTGAGCCGTTGTAGAAATCCACTTCAGTATGCAGCGAGTTGACAAGCAACGCGATGCGATTGTGTGGGCCGTTGAGCATGTAGTCTTTTGAAGTTTTTATAGTTTTTAGCAGGCAGTTGCATCTTAAAAAGATACCCGTCGGTGCCAACTCGAAACAGCTGGGGATATCCGGATCATCAATTAATCCATTCACGACCTTAAAGTAGAACATTAGGTCAGTTTCCTGACGACGAGCATGTAACTTGTTAATTTTGAAGCGTTCATAGATATCTTCAGTTGAGTTGAGACCACCAGAAACATCGTGGCTGTACCGGTAGCCTAGATGTTTACATAGTTTCGCCTGAACTCTTTCAACATGGTTGATTGCCACGACAGTGAAAGGTGACCAAATTACACTACCATAATCCAGGACTGGGAGGTCCCGCGAGGAAAAAATACGCAGAATGGAGTTAGGATTCTTAAAGCCTTTACTTGTCCGAGTTATAAAACCAAGAACTTTGAAAGCCTGATGTAAGATCTTGTCGATGTGTTTSCTGAATGTCAATTTGTTGTCGATGTGTATGCCCAGGTCCATTATTTGTGCAACTACGTTTATTGCCTCATTACTTAGGTTGTAATTAGGTGGAGTGCATGAGTGCGATCGAGAAAATGATATGACAGCGCACTTTTTGATATTCAGATGAAGTTTATTCTTGTGGCACCAGGTCGATAGTGCACCAATGTCACTTTGGAGAGTAACAGTATCTTGTTCGCAAGATTTGGCTCTGAATAACTTTAGGTCATCTGCATAAAGCAGATAGTCAGATCGGAAGAACTCACCAATATCATTAACAAATATATTAAAAAGAGTGGCACCAAATGCGAACCTTGCGGCATCCCAGATGTTACGTCATGCTTGATAGAGAGGTTACCATCAACTTTAACTTGGTAGACAATTCACCAATCAAATACGACTGTAACCAGTTAAGTGGGCCTTGGATGCCGTGCTTGCTTAGATTACTCAGTAAGATTTTGTGATGCACTCGATCGAAGGCTTTGCTAAAATCTGTGTAGATGGAATGAATTACTTTACCATTGTTTAGAGATTCAAGCACGTAATTGACGTAAATGAACAGATTGGAGGTAGTGGATCTCCCACCGACGAATCCTTGTTGTTTACTGGTGATGATGTTTGAGAAGAAAGCAGTCAGTTGAGGAAGAACTATCTTTTCAAAGAGTTTAGCAAGAGCAGATTGAATGAAAATTGGTCTATAATTGGAGACATCTGCCTTTGGGCCGTCCTTATGAATAGGACACTCAAAAGAGATCTTCCAATCAGTTGGGAAAGTACCATTGTGAAGTGAGAAACTTAAGATATGTGTGAGATGTTCACTGAGGCTGGTGGCACAACTTTTGAGAAAGATATTTGGTAGGCCATCAGGACCAGCTCCTTTCTTGGTATTCAGAGACATTAGACATTTGTGGACTTTGTTGATACTGACAACAAACTCATCTAAGATATTAATAGCTGCAGGCTTAATATTGGGTGATGAAGAGCTCTGGCATGGATCCTCAATGTAGACACTTAAAAAGAACGATGCGAACATATTGCTGATCTCCAAGGCTGAGGTGACTGTACAGTTGTTTTAGGACATGGTTGATGGGAAATCGCTGCTGCATCTTCTTTTGTTCTTGAGAAAATGCCAGAAATTATCAGTGTCCCCTTGGACCCGTAGTTCGACTTTGTTTATGTAGTTGTTGTAGCATTCAGTGCTGAGTTGGATACCGATCTATAATAGTAATGTCCTGGGTACGCTCAATATATGCATGTAGTTCACTGAAACAAAAATCAAGCAAGTTATTATTGTCAATTTATTACACAATGTTATTATTGTATGCATTCCATTAGAGAGAAACCTTCACAAAGTAGATTTTCGCAATCTGAACGTGGAGAACTACTCGGAAGTTTGAAATCTCCAGTGATAAGAAAGTTGGCGTCCCTGGGTTTATCTTTCAAGTAGTAAAGCGTATCAGGATAAATCTGATGTACGTTGAGTGAACCTCTAGGGGTAATGTAAACACACCGAACGATGATATTAGAGTTATTGCACTTAATTTTCACATACATATATTTGTTTTAGGCTATCATCGGTAATGTGCATGCACTCAGCATGGAAATATTTTTTAATGCTAGGACACCACCATCGCGTTCGCTGATACTTGTTGAATTATTTCTATCTTGCCTGAAAATGTTAAATGTGACGTCTATTACCTCCCCGTCGTGAATAGCAGGATGAAGCCATGTCTCAGAAATACAGAAGGCATCGATGTTGCTAGTTGATGTTGCTGTGATATAATCACTGAGCTTGGTTCGAAGACCTCTTACGTTCTGGTAATGGACTTGCAGTCTTGGTTAGGTTTCCCTTATCGATGATCGAGCGGAAAATTGTATCTACTAATTTAGGAACACCATTGACATACTTTATTGTCTTAGATGTATCACCATTCTTCGTTAAGGTATCTAACTGCGCTCGGAGGTTCTTGAGGTGGTTTAGCTGAGATGGAGTGAGATCAGATTTAAAGATCACTTTATTATTTGACTATTGCACGCGCTACAGTTGGAGATGGAGTTTTAACGAGAAGTGGACGAATGCGCCCGAGCGATGGACGGCCCAAATGAAGAATCTTAAACTGGTCCACGTTACCAGTCAAGTCCGGAGGCAGAACTGAGATGATATTGGCTCTCTCCTCTTCAAGACGGTCTTTACCGTCTGCTTTCGTTGATTCAGTGACATTTAACAAAACGGCGTTCGATTCACGTCTCTTACGTTCAGCGAATTCAGTGAAGACATCTTCTGCTGCAGCAGGAACATTTGAGTTTACCTTCAACAATTCTCAGTCTGTTTTCAAGCCCAGTACATTTGTCATCTGCATGCTTGTGCTTATTGGTTAGGTTCGGGGCAGGAAGTTCAAAATATTGAGCATCAAGCAGACTTTTGGGGGATGGGGTCATGTGTAGAAGTTCATGCAAGTGAGGAAAGTTCTCTGATCGCCATTCACTTGGGAGTGGCCAGAAACGATTCTTCTACATATGACTCAAGCAGCTCACGACTTCCGGTCCTTGACCAAGTATCCTCTGAGTAGTCTAAGAACTTCCGTTTGAAGGCGAGCTACTGTGAGAGGCGAAACATTCCAGGGTTGTGCGCCTGGTTTGGGACCCGCCACGTAAAAAAACCAACCCCAATGAAAACGCAACAACAGCCTCGGATGAGAGACCCCACTTTTGATGACAACCATGGCAAACGAAATAAGGACTACGA